GCTTGTTCTTAGGGGAGGTCTCCACTTAAGGAGATCTGGTGATCGATCTTCCAGGGTTCTAATTAGTGGGTCTAGTAAAGACCTGCTAAATCAAATGCTGAGGGCACCCCCTTTGGCGCCAGTACACCTTGCTGTTGTGAGGAGTAAGGGAAGTCAATGTAAGTATTTCTCCCATCAACCACTGTGGAAATGGTGCCAAGCTTGGCTTAAGGTACGTGGACTCCAGCTACGTTATTTACATAGCTGGAGTTGCATACCTTAAGCTGACCTTCCCCCTGCAGTGCAGACCTGGCCTTGGAAGGCTACCATGGCAGGTTTAACAGAACTCTTCAACAACATGCTAGCAAGGGTAGTGCACCCATAGTAAATAGCCACATTCAGCTCACTGACCTCTTCCACAACCACTCTGAACTTGCTTTTTGTACTCAGGACAGGCTTCACACCTGAAAGCCACTGCACACTGGAGAAGACTTTTGAGGGACCAATGAGGACTTGTCCAGGATAAAAACCATACGAGTCATCAAAGAAAAGGCCCTGAAAGAAAAGGGCAGCATAGGGGAACTATGTGTTAGAAAGCAGACAATGCCGGAAAACATTTTGTTCCAGTTGCAAAGGATTTGCGCATTTCTTCCTCCTCCCCACCAGGTTCCTGATCACTAAGGATATCTGTAAGCAATGAGACTTGTTTGCAAATTCCCTTTTTGTCCTATGCATCATTCCTTTGCTGAAGTCATCACATCAGTTTCTATAGCAACAAACTGAATGTCCCACATACCCAAACAAGGGATTACAATTTAGCAGGAAACAGGCAGAAGTACTCAAAAAAAAAATTACCTTGATTTCGTGCAAATGTTCTTAGGAACAATTAGTGTGCTCTGAGCACTGGGATGGGCAACAAGAATCCCTGATTTCTTACACCTGCTCTCACGTGAGCACTGGTGGATTCTGGCTAATCACTGAACTTCTCTTCCTCTGCTTTCCCAGTTGCAAAATCGGAATAATATTGACTATGTACCTAACGGCCATTTTATGTGGATTTACTTAACATTTCTTGTTTTTTTAAAATAAAGTGCTAGGAACTAACCAAACATTTCTCTTTCAGGCAATCTCTGTTCATGATAAATGGGGTGAAGATGAGCTGGGGATGAGGTTTGGCTATGGAGTTTTAGGTAGCTATCTGATTAATGCATTCAAATGTGTGTACTGATTATGATTTCAAATCTTGTAATATGTCAAGGGTGTGTAAAATCGGGGCCGTACGATCTAAGTTGTAAATTAATGGCAGTGAGAAAGAACAAAAGGAGAGGCATTTTCAAAAGTGACTTGTGGTTCTAGGTCCCTCAGCCGGACACGCTTAGAAGAGACCTAATTCTGAGAAAGAACAAAAAAGGTCAAGCTGAGCACCCAAAATCACCAGTCCCCTTTGAAAAATGTAGGCCATGATATAAAGAGGCTGAACTTATTCTGGACTGAGAAGCATTTACACATTGGGATCAAATGGTAAGAGGTACTGGACATCAATGAGATGGAGACTCTTCTCTCTCTGGGGAGGATGAAGTCCCTCAGGAAAAGACACCACATTCAACTGATATGCCATGGAATTCAGTGGCAGGTCACTAAGATTTTGATTAACTCTAGGGTGCTGGCAGAATTTCATAGGATGAGGCCAACTGTATAAACAAAATAAAGAGCTTTTACACTGTAGGCAATTTCTATAGTCTCACCCATCAATAAAGAAACAGTAACTAATAAAGCCTAGGAGCAAAAGGAAATTATTGTACAGTTTCTGAAGGAGGTAGGGGGTTAAATCTGACTACTACACAGTAAATTTTGTGTTCTCAGCCTGGTTACCAGTAGACAGCTCTCCAGAGCGCACAGTCTGGGACAATTCAACAAGAAGAGTAGTGTTCCACTAGAACACCAAAAAGCAATGCCATCAATTTAATTTTTAAAAATGAATTTAGAAACAATCTGGTTTCTGATAGAGCACCCTTAAAAATAGCATGCTTTTAAGTTATTCCATTAATCATTTTTAGAAAGGTTTCTCCATTCACCATTGATGCTCATTAGAGTCTTTTCAAGAAAAGTGATTATGAGGATCAGTGAAACCAGCTGTACTTTGTATACTTTGAAAAGGTACTTTGTCGAGGCAAAGCCACTTTTTAATGTAAGTTTCTTCAGGAAGAAAAAGACAAATTCTGAGCTGATTCCAAGAAAAAATTCTCCAGAGGACCAAAAACGTACCGAGTCACTGACATGAGGGCAGACATCATAGAGCTTTGCTCCATCTTCTGTGCTCATAGAACACCTGGGGAAAAAGAAAGAAGTTGGGAGACAGATCATGCGACAGTGAAGTCAGCCACCCCAACAGCAACAACCACCACCACATAGATCTCTCTTCTGGGCATCTCTGCCATTGCAGGGGCCTCAGGCATTGGCAACATCTTAGATTCTTCCATTCTCTGCTTGACGTACACAGTTTAGTTTACCAGGACCAAAATGTTTAAGTCCAAGGCTATAGCCTTGTCTACACTGGTATGTTTGGTGGACAAAAACTGCCTTTTGTTGACAAAACAGTGAGAGTGTACCCCAATACAATGCAACTTTTGTCGGGGGAAAATAGGCAGTTTTGGCAAAAAACTTTGGCAAAAAACTTACACCCCTGTGAGAGAATGTCTTTTTCCTTCCCTTATCGACAGAGCCAGTGTGTACTCGGTTTTGTTGAGAGAACTGGCTTTCACCAGTATCTTACGCCTGCCTGCCTTGATGGCTGGCTCAAGTGTTTTGTGATCTCTGCTGCCTTGCAGGCATGCACCTCTCTCCTTTCAAAGCTCCAGGAAGCATCTGACAGCTAAGTGAGCTGCTCTGTTTCAGGAACAAACAAAAAGAGCAAATCATTGGAATGCTCCCATTCTGCCCTGCTAGAAACACAGTAGCAGGCAGACGGCTGCTGCAGGAGGAAGGCTGGAAAGACTGCTGTGCTGCTTTGACAATCCTCAGCACAGAGAACTCACAGAGCTACTCATGATGGTGCTCCCAGCAGCTGAGAATGCTGTGGGAGAACTCAGAGAATCGCAAGAAGCGCAGGGATCAGCTCTGCCTTCCTGCAACACTGCACTTTGGGAGGCTTACCCACATGGCTTTGCTCTATCAGTCAACAGGGAGCTAGCAACGTTGACAACGGGAGGCAGAAAAACCTGTTTGACCAGTTTTCACTTTTACATGTGGTCAGCACTTGTCACCAAACCTTTCCAGTGCAGACAGTCTTTGAGCTTAATATAGGGGTATCTGAGTGAAAATTAATGACCTGTTTCATACTGAAGGTCAGACTAGATTATCTCAAGATGTTTTTTTGAATTTAAATCTCTGTGAAACATCTGTGTGTGTTTGTCCAAATACCTAGGCTCTCTCAACACAAGGACTGATTGCAAAACATGGCTGGCCCTTTCCAGAGTAAAGTGAATCCCCTGGTTTTAGCCAAGAGTGGGGTAAACACTACTTCATTATGAAAAGCATAACTCAGCACATGAAATTTATGAGGGAAGTGGGCTGTTTGGCGGAGTTTTTGCATACCAGTAACCTGCGCGCACTCAGCTATTTCAGAACAGTGCTGGAACCTCAGCTCTAGAAAGCTAACAAGTGGTTTGGGCACACCTGTATAGGCAACAATGTTTTATCGGAGATGAAACCTACAGTAGGATTTTAAATGATTCACTGATAGGAAGCTAAGAAACATTTTACATGGCTAGGCATGGGCTAGTAAACACCCCAAAGGCTGCATCTAGACTGGCATGATTTTGCGGAAATAACTTTTCTGTTAAGAGTATTTCCGCAAAAGCGCCTCTAGAGTGGCACAGATGCTTTTGCGCAAAAAGTGCTTTTGCGCAAAAGCCCTTTTTGCGCAAAAGCATCCGTGGCCAGTCTAGACACGATTTTGCACAAGAAAGCTCCGATCGCCATTTTAGCCATCAGGGCTTTTTTGCGCAAAACAGTTCTTCCCTGTCTACACTGGCCCTCTTGAGCAAATATTCTTGCGCAAGAGGGCTTTTTCTTGAGCGGGAGTGTTAAAGTATTTGCGCAAGCAGCACTGATTTTGTACATTACAAAGTCATTGTTCTTGTGCAAATTCAAGCTGCCAGTGTAGACAGCTGGCAAGTTTTTGCGCAAAAGGGCCGCTTTTCCGCAAAATCTTGCCAGTCTAGACACACCCAAAGAGTTTTAAGTTGTGAGACTAACTGAAAAGTGATACTTCAAATTAGTAAGCAACAGAAGTATGATTTATAAAAAGATATTTGTGATCCACGACCAACATGTGCTTGAGATTCTTCTAGTTTGGGTTTCCAAGCTAGGACACCATATTTAAAATCAGGTACAACAATTCAAATGATAGCCCCATGCACAGGTAACCTGTAATATCTCCAGAAAGATGTGCTTTTTCTCTGGAAAGATGCTCAAAATTGGTGCTATGGGGTTTCTTGTTTATTATCTCACAAAACCTCAATGTGAAAATGTGCTGTTTACAAGAGTTTTTTCTAACTACCATCCCTGCAAATCCCTTCTGGACTATGTGATTTCTAGATCATAACCACACTGTCAGGGATTAGCTTTGCTTCGTCTAAAGCAGGGCTACTCAACACATGGCTGGTGGACTGCATGCGGCCCGCAGTCCATCTGTTTGCGGCCCGTGGTGCAGTTTGGGTTTACGCAGAGCTCAACATGTGGCCCACAGGTAGGAGCCAAAACAAACAAACAAAAAAGTCAATATAATGGTCTTCTGTTGATATGCGTTTTTGTAGTTAAATTACTGGAGACTCACTGCTCATGGGAAGTGCTGTCATATGGGTGGAAATCAGGTAAATATTGCATTTTATTATTATCAGCAGAACTGATTTAAATGGGGCCTGCATATTGTGTAGTCTTGTCTTAATCTTTGTATTCATGCCGTTGGTGTGAAAGAAGCTATTTGCATATATATTTGCATGTATATACAACCACACTTAAGTTGCGGCCCTAGACCTGTGCTGAGTGTATCATTGTGGCCCCCTGGAGCGTCCAAAGTTGAGTAGCCCTGCTCTAAGGGATAAGAGAGCTGCCAACTATCCAATGTATATTTTCACAGCAGTGGATTACCTATGGCATAGAAATTACAAACCCCCCTGCCCAAAATGTGTTTTCCTGTGATTGAAAATGGGACAAGACCTGCTGTCACCAGAGTAATGCCTGCACAAGTGAGATGCCAAGCATACTTACACTACTTTCAAAAGAGACTACCACGCCCAAAGGTAAAGGAGATGTTCTGCTTCAGAAAAGTACCTGGCTCCATTGGAGAGCTTCAGGATGACTTGGTTCTTTAAGTCATAGACCTTCCCCAGCCAACAGTCATAGGCTATATAGTCGCCATACATAAATGGCTAAGGAAAAAAAAACAATAATTGTAAAATGCACTTAATTCTTTGGACTATCACATAAACACCACACAATGCAGACTGGCCAGAGATCTCTTGCGTTTAAAACTGCCCAAGCTGCTGCAAATTCAAATTAGGACAGTGTAAAATTACATGCTTTGCATAGGAAGTATGGCATGATCGATACCTATATTATAGAGATAATGGAAACAGCTTTGTCTGACTTTCTTACATCATAAATGGCTGAGAGAACAATTAACTATCTGTAAATTGTTTGCAAATTATTTAGAAGGCAGACTGGCCAGAGCCATGCAAAGGAAACTGTATGCAACACCCATGTACATTGGATAAGGTGGTGCAGAGTACGATCAGTTTCACATTCACTGGCACTTTACTCCAACCAGAGAAGAGAAGCTTCCTTTTTCAGGGAAACCCCCTTGTGCAGTCACACTCAAATGTGTTTCTCTGCAGCATGGCTGCAACATTGCTCTTCACTTTAGAAATGCTTCAGACAGTATCCATTTTTGGAGAGGTGGAGGAAGGAGGGAAAGAAGCTTGTTTCAAGTTCATTTTCTCAATTCAATGATGAAAACTAACAGGGAAAACCTTAGTCTTCAATGTACTGTCTTGCAAATCACCCACCCACCCAAAAATTGGAATGGATGCTAGGAAAACCAGGTATGACTCAGTCTGCTTCAGCTGGACAAAAAATGCTTTGCTTTTTTAAACATTTTGGAGCCTGTTGATATAGTAATTATTTGCTGCAGCTCAGGCCTGTACCGTTGTCATAGGACTGCCAGGGTCAGGTGATCACATCAACTAATCACAATGCGGATGCGTCTCAGAGCATTCAATACCGACAGTCTTCTCAGTCTAGCGGGATCGAGAAAAATGATCAGAAAATACATGAGGGAGGGGGTTGGACTCTACACTTGCCTCTAGCAGTGAGGACATTTCTGGTAGACGTACAATAAAGCTAAGTCACAAGTGGATAACAAAACATTGAAATGTCCATCTTGTGAGGGACACTGCTTGCCTGAAGTAAACACCAACCCCTCCAGCTCCCCGGGAGGAGAGGGGAAGGACTGTGGATGCATTCTCACCCAGATATGCTGTAGGTCTTTGCTGTTGACAGGATAGAGGATACAGTTGGTTCCTACCAGCTTCACAGCACACTCTATGTTTACATCTATTACAGTCCCGCACTGGCTGTCCTGAAAATGCAAAGAGAAGGAAGAGGAAAAATAGGGTCAGTAACTGGATGAAATTCTCAAGTTGTATGTCAACTGCATACAAGGTGAAAGGTACAGAAGTGACAGCCCTGGAGGGTGAAACCCTCTATTTATCCTCAGAGCAGACAGCACCGGCAGAGGCAGTGCAAGCTTTTCCCAATAACTGTGTTCACAGAAATGTAACGAGTCCAAATTCAAGGACTGAGTGGGATGGACAGTAGGTTAAAAAAAACCTTCTTCCCAGTTACAATTTTAACTGGCTGATG